CTCGGCTGGCGACAACTCGAAGATCCTCGCCGCCAATCTCCACGAACCCGGTGCTGAGGGACCTTAATCTGCCACCGGTCGCATTAATCTTGGTCGTTTATTCGCCAATTTCGCGCCGCGTAATATCCCCTCTCGCAGTCGTCAGCGAGCTACCAGCTATTCGCCTGGTCTGCCCAAGTTTTGAAGCTTTCACCGATTAGCGACCCGCATCCCAAATAACACCCTTGCATCTTTGCACGAACACAACACACCCGTCGTTGTCCCAACCCCTACGACGAGCGCTACAAACGTGTCTGAGCCAAACATTCGGGGCTGCCGCACCGTCCTCGATCAGCAAACATGTCTTCCGGACTCACGCGACGCCGCGGGGCTGGTGGTGCTCTGAGCCCAACCGAGGGCGAGACTCCTACCACCCCCTCGAGAAGCAATTCCACCAACAACGCCCGGGACAGCGCCCCAGAGACCAGATACGAGAGTGGCGAAGGGGACCATCCGATTGCCTACGATCCTCGGGATATGAGCGAGAGCGCCGAACGAAGCAAACAGCCAAAGCTTACGATGATGGAGGAGGTATTACTACTTGGTTTGAAGGACAAGCAGGTAAGCTGGAACTGCGTGGCGATCGAGGCAGCCACCTAGACACCGAACTTACAATCATCCGCAGGGCTACCTCTCTTTCTGGAACGACAACATTTCATACGCCCTGCGGGGCTGCATTGTGATAGAGCTGGCCTTCCGTGGCAGAATCGCTATGGAGAAGGACCCGGGCCGAAGACGACTACCGCTGGCGGACCGAAATATCGAAGTCATCGACGACGCCCTGACCGGCGAGGTTCTCCTGGACGAGGCCTTGAAGATGATGAAGCAGAGCGAGAAGATGAGCGTCACGACTTGGATTGACCTGATGAGTGGTAAGGCCGCCTTTGCAACATGTTGCTAAAGTGCACTTTTGTTATTAACACATGCGATAGGCGAGACTTGGAACTTGATGAAGATTGGATATCAGCTCAAGCAGGTTCGTGAGCGACTCGCCAAGGGACTTGTGGACAAGGGCATCCTACGAACCGAGAAGCGCAACTTCCTCCTGTTCGACATGGCGACTCACCCCGTGTCCGACGGCGGTGCCAAGGAGGAAATCCGAAGACGCGTGCGCAACATCCTGACCCAGCGCACCGTCGTTCTCAATGGCAGCCAATTCCTGCCCGAGAACCTTGAGTTCAGATACCTGCGTACCCTGGCCATGGTGTGCGCTGCCTACGCTGCCAACGTCTTAGAAAACGCTCTTTCTACCCTTGGACACGAGTCTCGGGAGCGTGCATTCGCTCAGACCGACGAGCTGCTGGCCGACTACAGCCAATGGCCATTTGGCAAGAAGGCTACCGGAAATGGGATCGGCGCCAACCTCCCTCAGGTTGTTGCAGAGGTATGTATGCGTTCAAACCACAGACAGACCGTGGTACTGACTTCTTGGTTCCAGGAAATCAGCAAAGGCAAGGACAAGGAGTTGCAACTCGAGGTTGTCGCTGCTTGTCTGAGCGTCTTCACCAGGCTCGACTCCCTTCTCTAAAGGGGTGATTGATTGCTATCCGTTTATCTCCTCTCTCCCCTGGATGACCACCTAACCTCCTCACATCCTCTTCTTCCGTCCAAAACTTAATCAATCTTGCGGCTGTCATCGCCAAAGCAACCCAGGTGGCATCGACAATTACAAGTCAGCTCTGAAAACTAGGAGCACTCAATTTGAGCCGATGAGCCGATGCGGTATTGAACTCGTCAAATTCGTTTTGTTTTATTATTTCTCGTGCTTGACAGGTTGGCGCTGGGCATAGGACTGGAAAAATTATCAAAAAAGGGCCGCTGTGATGTATTGGCGGGGGAGGGTTAGGCAATATCCCCCGATCTTTTTGTCTTTTTCAAATGCTCTCTGCAACGATCCTCTGAGACGGGCGACGAAAATATACTGCGCAAAACAATACGGTCTCGCATTTTCTTTCATAGGGGCGAAGACCGAACGAAATCGGGGGGTTTGGTACATCTACTGTATGAAAGTTGTTGCCTTTTCGGTGGGTTCCTTTCCTCTCTGGCTCTTGGGAACAAAAGAAGCGGCATGCATGGGAGAAAGCGTGTTATTCGCTGTGTATGTTTTTGATTCATCTTTCATTTATTCTTCTGTTGTAATGAACACAACATATTCTTTTCTAGTATTCCGAGGGCAGATTCTGAGAAATCCCTGTGCTTCACTCGTTGCTAATAAACTGACGTTGGCGAGCTCGCTCAATGCAATATATTGACATTTGAATACAGCGCCCTCTTCAGATGTAAGCCCAGTTGACTAAGTAGCAAAGTAGAGCTCCAAAGCCAACAGCAGTTGAGAAAATTGATCAATCACTTGGACTGAGTAATACAGGTTATAATCAGTTGTTAATTACTTGCGTCCGACACCTAGACTACCCTCGAAACCAGGCCTGCTCTTCTTCTTGGCGCCCGCGCCAGCCTTCTTCTTCTTCCCAGCCTTGCCAAGCAACTTATCCTCCCGACGTTTTCTGATATTATCCTCCCTCTTCTTCTGGCGCTCCTTTTGCGCTTGCTGGACTCCATAAGCACGCTCCTTCCATGCCTTTTCGCTCTTCTTCTTAGCCGTCTCCTTGCGCTTGACTGCCTTCTTCAGAATAGCCTCATCATCCCGGATCTTCTCTCCCTCAACGCGGCGACGAGCAGTCAGCCAGGCTTCCTTTTCTGCGATATCTTTTTGCTTTTCGGCATCGAGTTCCTGTAGACGCTTCTTCTGGTTCTGCACCTTGAGGAGGGCGGTCTTGGGATCTGAGGGTCCTTTTCTTTTGCCGTTGGTAAGGACGTAACTGAGGTCGTGGGAAAGCTGGGTACCGTCGCCAAAGGCCATGCGGCCAAATGCGAAGTTACCCGTGGCCTCGTCGAGTTCCACGGAAGGGCTCATGACACTCGGCGAATTTGATGCCAGGGCTTGTTCACGTTTCAGCTCTTCCTCGGCCTTGGCCTTCAGTCTCAGTTCCTTCTTGTGGGCCTTGCGCTGTGCTTCCTTCGCTCTCCGAGACTCGATGAGCTCCTGGCGGGTGCGTATAGGCTTTCCATCGGGACCATCGGCCTTGCGGGCGGCGCGTAGGGCCTCAATCTTTGCTGCTAGCCTGGCTCTCAGTGCAGAGGTGTCGCTGGGGATCTTGATGTGTTTTGGCTTTTCTGAAGGAGGAATTGCTGACGATAAGGAGGTGGATGTGCTGGCTGGTTCTGTGGAGGCACCATTGGGGCCATTGGAATCGAAGAGGGGAGATTTATCCTGTCTCTCGGATGGAGCGCTTTCGCTGGCGTCGTCTTGCAGGCCTGAGAAGTCGGCTACTTCCGTTTCGAAGTCCCCCATTTCTTCGTCGCTGTCGACTTTGGTTTCGTCTTCTTCTGCCTGTTGCTGCTTTAATTTCTTTCCCTTTGACTTGGGCACAGCGTTGCTCGTCTGGCTGTTAGAAGTCTCGGCTGGTGCAACTGACATGGACTCATTGGCTTCCTCGTGAGCCTTCTTCTCCGCTTTCTTCTGCTTGCGCTTCTCTTTCTTCTCCTGCTTTTTAGATAACTTCTTTCCCAGTGAAGCATCTGCCTCCTCTAAATCTTCAGCTTCAGCTTCTGGAGCCTCTTCTGGGGCCTCTTCGTTGACCTTCTGCTTCTTGTTGTTTTCGGATGTCTTCTTCTTCAGGCCCTCGCCTGGTCGCTCAGCCTCGACACCTTCGAATGGTTCGAAATCATCTTCTTCCTCGTCGTCGTTATCCTTTTGTTCTAGTTCTCGTAGCTTTCGCTTATTCTTTGCTCGTTCATCCATCCCCTCCATAGCGGTGCGATTCTGTTCGCTGTTGGGATCAAGCTTGTTCATCCGCGCAACCCTAGCCTCTGCTTTGGTCTGCTTCTTTCGCATCCATTGGTCCTAGATTTGGGATTAGCCATGGCTTCGCGGATGGTTTGACCAATTGATGACCATTTTGCGCGAGCTAGTGCTGCGCACCGGTTGGAATCACAAAACAATGTAAAGAAGGGTAGTAGCATACTGTATTGTCTTCTCCGTAATACACCTTGGCGGGTACCAGGCTCAAAAGGCCTTGGAAGGTGCCGGCCTGGCGCAAGCGGTCCTGCGGTAGTGTGAGTTCTTGTCCATGAAACGCAAAATCTCACATCGGGCTCTTTGCAATCCCAGTGGGGTATGGGCACATACCTCCAGCAGCCCCTCCGACATTTTGACAATGCGTAATTCAGACCCGAAAGACAGTCCTGTGGATTTGAATGCGACAAGAAACCCTTTGGCCTTTGGATGTGATGATGGGGTCCAACAGGTCGTGTGCCTTGTAGAGGCAGTCGGTGTCAGGAAAAAAAAGCAGGCGGTTGGACTTGGCTCGTGGGAACTTTTTTTTTAATGGGGCCGTTATACTGGACTCAGTTCGCAACCCACTATTTACAGTGAGTGGCACTGTTAATAGGACCATGCGAAAACCGTCGGTTGTTGGGCAGCGCAAACTTCTTCAAAGTAGCTGTCTTTGATATCTTCTTTCCTCTATATCTAAAATACTTATATGATTGAGATGTTTTAAAGTTATCTCGTCAATCTGATGGAATTACGCGTAGGTATGACTCCAGTTAGCGTGTATCACAAGCAGCTGCCATTCTCGGCTCGGGAGTCTTCTTGTGGTTCTACAAGAGTGCAATAACAATATTAATTGCAAGTCATACGTTTTCTAAGCGACGAACGTTACCATGGCATTACGATTTTCACAGCCGCAGAAAATCAATATTGTTACATACATAGCAATATGTGTTAACTTGTCTCTGAGACTCTGACAGAATATGGACATGGGCCGTTCCTTATCGGCCGCTTATCGCCCCGCTATCAGTGATAACGATAGCATCAACGGCTGGAAAAAAAAAAGTTGTTGGATGCAGCCGACATGCCCAAGCCACTATAGCCGTACAACAATATATGCGCAATTGCCATGGAATCGAGCTCTAAACGTCGCAAGCTCGAGCACTCGGGCTCCGGTATAAAGCATACCAACCTGATCGATTTCGAGTCCGGAAGCGCCACCCGTTTATCCACAGCAAGCATCTTCACTCTGCAGACGGATGAGCTACTCAGAGGCGCCAAAGTCGACTACGCCAAAACCCTGAAAGATGCAGATGAGCAATTGTATAAGCTTAAGGGGATCATAGACTCTATCGAAGGTCATGGTCCTGAGCCTGTGAGTAATTGCTTGTCCACCTACGTGGTTATTCCCCAGAGCTCTACCTAACCATTTCCAGCTTGGCGAAGCAACCTCGAAATTCGAGAAGAAACACCACATTACCGTGCCCTACCCCGAGCCGAGACCCGCCAAGGATGTCCCGTACCAACTATCATTCGAAAAGCCAGCACAAGTGAACGTTGTGGGCAGCTATGTGGCCAGGTCTATGGTTAAGACCCAGTCGCGCTTTTGCGTCGACATGATCGTGCAGATGCCCAAGACCATGTTCCAAGACAAGGACTACCAGAACATGCGCTACTTCTATCGAAGGGCATACTACATTGCTTACATTGCGTCGCAAGTGCGGAACGAGCTAGGCGACTCAATGGATCTCAGTTTCGAGTTCCTTCACGATAATCGCCTGTTGCCCGTTCTCCTCATTACGCCCAAACCAGCGGAAGAAAATGGGAAATCGGTGAGCCAAAAGAAGAAGAAGACAGGCGCTTCTGGCCATTCTATCAGGGTGATCCCCTGCGCTCCTGAAGATCTCCTTCCAACTTCGAAGCTGGTCCCATCGTTCAACTCCAACCGAGGAAATGAGAAAGACGACAAAACTGCAACGCGTGGCACTCCATTTTACAACTCTACCCTTAAAGCTGAGGCGACCTTTGTCACCTATCTACGGACTCTTACCCGCGCAAAGAAGGACTGCCCGGCCTTCCCTGATGCCTGCATTCTGGGCCGGACATGGCTGCAACAGCGAGGTTTTGGCTCTTCCATTTCACAAGGCGGTTTCGGCCATTTTGAGTGGTCTTTACTCCTTGCTTTGCTTCTCCAAACTGGCGGACGAAATGGGAAGGCGACACTCTCAAACTCCCTCAGTGCCACGGAAATTTTCAAGGCCGCTGTTCAATTTCTCTCTGATACCGACTTCAACAAAAAGCCAACTATATTAGGAGCCTTCAATGGCACTCTTGATGCAGTCCGAGAAACTGGCCCGGTTCTATATGACCCTTCAACCAGCCTTAATGTGCTGTTCAAAATGCATCCTTGGTCGGCAAGCTTGCTGCAGCAATATGCTAAATCTACCACTGATCTCCTCTCGGACGAAGCAGCTGATAAATTTGAGCCGATCTTTATTGTCAAGGCCGATATTCTCTCGCAAATTTACGATGCAACTTTTACTATTAAAAGTCAGGACATGACAAAGTCATCGGGGTCACCAGATCGACGCGGTGCTGTGTCGGAGTTCAGCCTCGAGGCTTACAAAGTGTTGAAGAAGGCATATGGAGGCCGCGCTCAATTACTGCATATCCAATCCCCTACCACAAGCAAATGGTCTCTCGGGGCAAATCCTCCATCCGAGCACGACCACGTAACTATTGGCGTGACATTCCAATTTGCCCAGATGTCCCGCCAGATGGAGCATGGCCCCCCTGCAGAGGAGCAAAAGGAAGCCGCCAGGTTCCGCCAATTTTGGGGTGAAAAGGCAGAGCTAAGGCGATTCAAAGATGGCAGTATCCTGGAATGCGTTGAATGGCAAAGCCGCCTCCCATTCCAGGTTTGCGAGGAGATTGCCCGTTATATTCTTGCACGACATCTTAAGTTGACCCAAGAGGAAGTCTCTTTCCATGGTCCAGGGCTTCACTCTGTACTGAATTTTTCAAACATGGACAAAGATGCCTTCGACTCGGCGCGAAAGGCCTTCCAGACTTTCGAGCATGATATTCGAACTCTCGAAGATCTCCCATTACAGATACGACAGTTATCCCAGGTTTCGTCTTATGCCCGATATTCATCATTGTACCCTCCCATGCTAGGCTTCCACACGGGCTCTATTCAGCCAATGGAGGTCAATATGCATTTTGAGGCCTCGAATAAATGGCCTGAAAATCTCATTGCCATTCAAGAAGCCAAAATAGAATTTCTTCTCGACATCGACAGGCGCCTCAGCGGAGCCCATGAGAACATCACTACTTACCTTGGGAGAGAAAACAGAGATGTTGGGGTAGAGAATTTGGCCTACCTCGATGTTGTGTATGAAAACGGTGCAGCCTTCCGAGTGAGGGTACACTGCGATCTAGAGGAGGTTCTCCTTGGACGGCAAGTGATGAACAAGACCCTTGATCACTATATCCGGGATGAGGCCGAGGAAACACTGGCCAGCGTCAACTGGCAGTACAGTACTCTGGCATTGCACACACAGATGATTGCCACTTTCTGCACCCGATTCCACGCTCTTTCCCAGTCCATCCGTCTGGTGAAGGAATGGTTCAATGCTCACAAGCTGATGGGGCACATCAGTGAGGAGGTCATCGAACTGCTGGTGCTCCATGTTTTCCTCACCCCTTACCCCTGGAAGATGCCCTCATCGGCTTCAACAGGGTTCTTGCGCACTTTGGATTTCCTCGCAAGATGGAATTGGAAAGAAGAGCCGCTCATTGTTGACTCAGCCGAGTCTCTGTCGATCGACGAGCGCTCCGCAATCTACAAGAATCTCGAAACCTGGCGAAAGAGAGATCCCAACATGAACAACGTCGTCCTCTTCATTGCGACGTCGCATGACCAATCAGGTCGTGCGTACACCCGCCGCAACCCCTCGAAGCTCATTGCATCGCGCATGACCAGGCTAGCTCAAGCCGCCTGCAAGCTAGTCAAGGAGAAGGACTACCGCCTAGATCCTGCTCAGCTGTTTGAGACATCTCTCAGCGACTACGATGTTCTCTTCCACCTCTCACCCAAGGCTGTCAAGTCCATCCTACGCGAAGCCGCCGCGGAGCCTGGTGTTCGAAAGCAGTCACAGTTCAAGAACCTCGATGACCGTACCGGCAAGGTGCCTCTTCCGATCCGTGCGCACCCCATCGAGGTCCTTCTCGAAGAGCTTCAGCGCGTGTACGATGATACCTTGATCTTCTTCCGTGCTGGGGTTGAAGGAATTGCCGACGAGGACAGTGACCACATCATTGGCGCCATCTGGAACCCTCGTTTGCAACAGCAAAAGTTCAGGGCTGGACTGCCATACAATATCCGCAAGGTACCCAACGCAGAAGGCGATGTTGTGGAAGTAAACCGCCAAGCCGTACTACTTGAGATTGCCAGGATCGGCGGGGAGATGATCAAGAAGATCGAGGAGCTAGAAGAGGACGACTAAAAGGGGCATGTAAGATCATTATTGCAGCATCACAATCATAGAAACATGTTCTTAAGCTGTATATACCAATCATCGGGGGGGTAATGGATATTTTTGGATAAGCTAGATATTGGGGAAGCAAGTACTCAAAAAGCAAAAAGGCATGATATATAAAAGAAATTACCGGCGGTTCTATCCCATCACTCAACCGACCCACCCATTTCCTCATTTTGAAACGCCGTGCCATGACAAAGATGCATTACCATATGTACAGAATTGTTCTTCCATGAAGAAAATCACTGTCACTCGCCACCGCCCATTCTCATTTCTTGACAAATTCAGATTTGCTCGTCTCCCTTCTCAGTGTAATTATCGTCCGTCGATCCTACTCTTACCGACTATCACTCTTCACAACCTGCTGGGTTGAGAAAGAGCAGTACTTGTCTTTGATTGCAACCACCTCGTACGTACCCTCCTGGCTTGCCTTGATGATCTTCTTGTGATCATACGAGACGTCATGCCTCGTTTCCAAGACAACGCTCTTCTGGCCCTTTCTCGCGTTGGAGCTTCGCGTGAAGGTGAATTCAAAGGGAGGTGTGCCCCAGAACTCGAACTGAATGGGTACCTCGCCACCCTCATGAATATCGACCCGAGACTGTTTGCCCTGGCTGATCTGGACACTGGGAAGAGGATGAATCCTGGTCGGGATGTTCACAGTCGCGCGGCATTCGCTGGCCTTGTCAGAGATACTAGTAATGATAAAGTCACCAGGCTTCTCGGCAACACGACGGAAACTAGTTGTCTGGGACTTGGCATTCCAGCGCCCGTTGAAGTCATAGGTAATGTCAAAAGGTGGTGTACCAGACAGGGTATAGGCGATACGCTCGCCCACGCAGAAGTCCTTCCGGGTCTCGAGGGGATAAATTGAGGGAGCATCATAGAGCTGGATTTGGACAGATGGCCCACCAATTTCATACTTCTGCTGGCATCCGCGAGCATCGCGCACACTACGGATGCGGATGTGCTGACTTCCAAGGCGGAGGTGCTGTCGTGGAATCTGCATACCATAATCGTAAGAGCTAATAGCAGGAACGCTGAAGGTCTCAGGGGGAGAGCCAGCTTGATGCTTGACTTCAAACTCGATATAGAAGGGTGCCACACCGGTAAGCTTGATGGGGATCTTATCCTCCTGCTCCTGCTCCTCCATACAATACTTGAACGATTGACTAGCCTTGGAGAATGAAGCGGAAGGCTTTGCATTTACATGCTGCTTGACAATGAGGGGGCTAAAGTTCTTGTCGATGTCATAAAGGTTATCGGCAAGTCCAAAGAAGGTATATGCATAATCGCCAGCTTTCGAAGTATCCATAGAGATCGCTGCTTTATGCAGAGCTGCATCGAAGTTCTTACGGCCCAGAGAGCCGGAGCCCGCGGCTGGCTTATGTTTGATTTCATAATCCACGTGGAAAGGAGGAGATCCTAATGAGAGGTTAGTCGCAAGACATACAAAACGTAGACCAAAGACTGTAAAACTTACCCTTAAGATTGACCTCAAATCCGTCAATATCTCCTTCGCAAACATCTTGCTTGATAAAAGTGGTACCGGCCTCGGTACGGATGCTTTCAGACTCGATCAAGGATAATTCGGGGCGAGGGAACCATCCCACCTCGAAGGTCGATGCATTAGGATCAACACTTCCAACGCATTGGTTATCAGATACCTCGACAATTTCGTAGACTCCACTAGATTTGACTACAAGGTAGTCGTTGGCGCCATTGATAAACTTGGTGATAACATCTCCTCCATAGTTGAGGTTCCTGTACTTGACTTCCCATGGCCCTTCACCCTGAAGGCGAAGAGGCAATCTCTGAGGAGTATTCTCAACGGACATGATGGTCCTCTTCTGCTCAACGAGACCGAAGGCAGCTCTTGGCCTCTGTCGTCGTACATTGATCTTGAGTTGATCTTGCAAGAAAGTCCGGCAACCTCGGACATCCTGAACACTGCTCAAAGCCAAGACATACTCTCCTCCTTTGGTGAGAGGTGAGGTTTTGATCGTATACTTGGGTTCTTGAATGCCCGTAGCACGGTGCGTCTTACGCTTGCCATCGTGAACAATCTCCCATTCAAGAGTGAAAGGAGGGTCGCTGCCCAAGTAAACATCGGTCTCTACTTCCGAGTCAAGACAAGCATTGACCACAGGATGGCGCTTAGCAATGAAAGCAGACGCTACTGGCTTCACAACCTGCTCCAAAACCTTGTCTTGTCCCGTAAGTGGCACATTCTTATACACGCCGTCGTCAATCGACTTGAACACATATGTGTGACGCCCGGCGGTGTCAGGTACAAGCTCAATTTGGGAACGCAGGCCTCTCTCCACAACATGCTTCTTGAGCCTTGTCTTGCCATCATCATCAGTAACCTCATATCGTACAACGAATGGTGGGGTTCCAACAAGGTCCAAATCGACACGAAGTCCGATAGAGTTGCCAGCACACTTATCAGAGATTTCTTCAGACCGAAGCTCCAGTCGAGGTTCAAGAGGGTTCAGAACCAAACATGAGGACGGCTCCTCAATTTGACCCTCACATTGTCCAGTGGAAACAGACTTGAGAGTGTACAGTCCAGGGGCCGAGACGGAAGGCTTTATCTGGTGTGAATTCTGGGCGACATGGCTGCCGAAAGAGACTTCATCACCGTGATCTCCGCTGTCGGTGAGACTGCTGATGGGGGAAAAGGCCCAGCTAATGCTGTGGGAAGAATCATCCAGGGGGCCCGCCAAGCTGAATTCAACTGGCAGGTGCGCAGAGTGACCCTTTGCAATCCTGAGAGGATTCTTGAGATCACAACCCTCCATGCGGATCTTGGGACGCTCCTTGACCATGAATTTATGAGATAGTTCCTGGTTCTTGACCTTTGATGGCTGATTGTCAGGCTCCCCATACTTGACCACGTTCCCAAAAGCATCATGAACCTCATCAACGGTATATTGCCAGTCTCCAGAAGGGGTCAATGACTCGTTCAGGGCGACGGAAATTCTAGACGGCCGAACCCAAGCGAGACCATCCTGCTCATCTGACTCCGAAGGTGTCGACACACCGCTCAGAGGGGAGGAGAAGCCGTCAGGCTGCAAACTCTGGAAGTGGAAGCTGCGGTTCTTGCCATTTATGGCCCGACTATAGACGATTTTCAGAGGGGGTGAGCCAATGACCTGTAATGAAAGATCTGATAAATCTCCAATGCATCTTGCAGCTGAGTCTGCTGCCCGGAAGTGTGCCTCGGGACAGGGTACCACGTAAGTATCCTTGGTCGACCTTTGGACCTCCAGTTTGTACTCATCCAGGACTCTTCCCAGTCGGTAAATACCAGTCTTCTTGACAGGGTATTCCCACCGGAAACCATCACTGCTGGGATCGGCATTTTGCTCCCGAACAAGCTTGGCCAGCTTGCTCACCTCCCGGTTAGGGAGTTTGATTATCTCTTCCTTGTTGGTGAAAATGTCGGTTCGAACGATTTCGATTTCGGCGGGAACCGTGGCATTGAAGTATATCGGTAGCGAGATACCCTGTCTCGACTTTGCAGGGGGGATGCAGAACGGCTCGTGGTCGGGGTTCAACACTGCAGACCCTTCAGGTAAAATGTTGATAATTTGCTTGCCCATGATGAGCGAATGGTTGTTGAGCAAACTCGAGACTTTAACGTTGTGTTCGGAAACGGAAATTTCGCGATCGTACAAGACTTTGGCGAAAGCAAGGAGCCATGAAAAGAAGGGAACCTGGATAGTAGATAGTCGGTCAATATCACAGCCTAATCCGAGATCGAGAACAAAGTCAGCACTTACAGGGACGAGGAACATGAGGAACCAGTTCGCAACCACATGTGCGAGGTAGATGGATGTCACAACGGCTTGAGACGGCTCCAGCCATGGTATTCGCAGCTCGGGCAAAGCAAAGAAGTAGACGCAGTCGATAACGATCCACTTCAGAAACATGCTCCAAGAACCTTCGCCCTCCTCAACCACAGCCACCCAATTGTATAGCTTCCATATTAATAGCCCGACATAGAGAGCAAAGGCGTAGAATCGCTGGGAGGGCGCGTCAAGAACTGTCAAAGGTATCAACGGCTGGCTGCCACCAGGCTTGGCGGGCGCATTTTCAGGAGCTTGAGGCAGAGATTGCTGCTTGACCCTGGAAGCACTGGTTGTGGAAGAAACGGTTCCCACAGTGCTCGGGGTATCTTGAGGAATCTGTCGTCGTGCGGTCGTGGCTGGGGTTGTTGGAAACCCAGACCGGAGTCGGGGAGTTGCATTCATCGCATTCCGTGTACAGCGCCGAGTCTGCGACGAAGCATCGAGTTTCGCTGGAAGCTGTTGTTTGCTTCAGTAACACCTCCGAAACAGTGTGTCGGTCGAAGCTCGTATGCAAATGGGATATATCTGCTGTGGGTGATGGTGATGTTTGGTGGTGGGTGCCAATTTATAAATTCCATTCACGGTTGTTGCTTTTTTGCTGGTCCAAGCAGGCCTCTGACGCGCCGTGCATAATATTTGCACAACTCGGGGAGCTCCCTTTGTGCACATCTTTATCCCTGCAGAAGCCGCAACTGCCGCTAAACAAGGCCTGTGCTTTCCTGCAGCTGCCCCATTCCCGTTTTAGCGGGCGCACTCTCCAGAGCAGTCCTACCTTACTAACTACCTAACCTAATAAGCCTAATGATGCGCTTTGTGTGATCGCATCATCTCCAGACAACTTTATAATAGCAATGCCACTTTTTAATCTATCCCATCACGTTTAATGGACTCAGTCTCTTAAAAGAACTTGATGATAACAAAGACAGAGGATGCACAAGTTATCATAGGTGTGGGCGCACTTTATCCGGCCTCTCCATACCAACCACAGCCAAGTACTCAAGCTTCAACCTACATCCACACCTCGCGAATAATCCAGCAACCCTTCCATATTTTTGCCGGCCATTGATTCTGAATCGGAAGATAACGCGCAAGCTCGCATATAGCCAGCTAGCCTTCTCTTTCTATCCCCTTGTCATCCATTTCCCCTCTATCCACCCGCCGCAAACAGGCTGGTTCCATCTACAGACCCTTTGCCTCCTACCTCCAATCATCGTAACCAAGCGAGCTGTCCATCTACAATCCCAGTGCTATTTCAATATAGTCATGGAAGTAGAACAATCTGACCCGGACATCTTTCATATGGAGGGCGAATTCGCACCCCTGCAGAATGAACAACCACAGCCGCTGAGGCGTTCAGGGCGCCAACCTGTGAAGCCGAAGCGCCTTGACTCATCCGATTCAGCATACGAATCTCCTTCCAAAAAATCAAAAGCAGCAAACACATCGCCAACGCGCCGGCGAAATCCAAAGCGCAAAGTAAGCCAGCAGTGCGAGCTTGTAGGCCATCTTCCAGCCAACCTCCTCGAGGAAGCACTCAAACCTCTTGACACCAACGACATTGAGGAGTGGGAAGGATGGGTCGAGCTCGAGTCTGACCCGGTAAGTTCCACTGTAATCTAATGTCCCTTGTCTACTACCTCCCAGTAAAGCTAACACGTTTACACAGGCATTTTTCAACATCATCCTTCGGGATCTGGGCGTTGAGAATGTCAAGGCCCAGGAGCTTTTCACTGTCGAGCCTGAGTTCATGGACCTATTACCGTATGCCAATGAACATAAAATAGTCAGCTTTCCTTCTATTTCGTCTGACCATTGTCCTTAGCAAACCGGTCTTTGGCCTAATATTTCTATTCGAATATCTCCCAGAGGAGGACGAGACGGAGGACGAAGAAAACCCTAGCGGAATATGGTTCGCTAACCAGGTTTGTGCCCAAATCTACCAATCTATACTTTCTTTAGTTATGCTGATTTGTTTCTCATGCCAGACTACTAACAATGCTTGCGCCACGGTTGCGCTTCTCAACATTGTCATGAATGCACCAGGTGTTCGGTTAGGTGAAACTCTTAAGGAGTTTAAAGAATCCACCAAGGACCTGAGTACAGCTCTAAGAGGTCATCGGCTCAGCTCGAATCCGTATATTCGTAGGATTCATAATTCGCTAACTCGTCGAATGGATCATCTCAATGCGGATCTCGCGCTTGAGAACGAAGCCAGCGAAGCAGCTTCTAAGAAATCCAAGACTCGCTATACTAACAAAGGTGGTAAGAGAGCCCAAACGCGTAAGAAGCTTAAAGAGTCAGAATATGGGTTCCATTTTGTTGCCTACGTCCCGGCTGATGGGTATGTGTGGGAGTTGGATGGGCTCAAAACAAAGCCTCATCGACTAGGTAAGTCAAAGAAGTGCATCGGCGCATACGATGAAGAAGAAGTGTGAAAAGCTCATATTTTCTCATAGGACCCCTAGAATCTGAAGACTGGACAACAGTCGCTCGTCCTTATATTGAAGCTCGAATGCTTCAATACGAGGGGACTCAGCTATCCTTCAACCTGCTGGCGCTATGTCAAAGTCCCCTCGCTGTCCACTCCCAGGCTATTGCTGGAGCTCTCGCGTCGCTGCAATGCTTCCAGAATACGCTACGTTCCCGGCCCAACTTTTCAGACCTCGAAATATCACAACGAGACAAGTCAAACTTTAGTGACGTTTCGTTATTATCCGAGTTCCAGCTCACAGAGGCGACTGTGGAAACGGCCGAAGTGCCCCAGTCACTTCGTGAGCAGATCGAGCAGCCCAGTATATCTGTCGAGGAGGCGCATAGTCTCTTTGAGAAATTGACACTCGAAGTCAAGTCCACTATGGGAGAATACAGATCCGAAATGATTGCATTGGCAGAAGATGAGCATCGAGTCCAAGGGCGCAAGAAAGACTACGCGCCCGCGTTACACAAATGGGTAACCAAACTCGCCGAGAAGGAGGCATTAGAGGAGCTGATCAAAATTTCATGAATTGCACCCTTTGTCCTAGATCTGTTCTCGCGGGCTTATAATAAGCTCATTGATGCAAAACATCAAGCTGAGCAAGGTGGATTCAGTTAGCTCACTTCGGTCCTCCTTTGTTACCAATGCAAAACAGAATTTTAGATAAATATGTTTTATTAATAAAGGGTATGCCTAATTACCGAACAGTTTCTCTCAACGTGCTTTTAAGTTGCGTACGTCTTCCTTCCCTTTTCCCTTTTTTTTCTAACTTGACTTTTATATGTATCTGGCTGCGGCGACCCAAGTGTGTGTAACCACAGCAGACAATAAGAATGATGTGTTTCATTCTCGGCTACCTCAGTCATCCGGATACTCTTCCTTTAAGTTTGAGATGAAGCGGCACGTCTCGGGATCAAATCTCTTGAAGTATTTCCCAGCATATAGAAAGGGCATCTTAAGGACCAGTTCGGGCTCATTGATGAGCTCGACATTTTCTTCCGCGATGACATTTCGCTCGGCAGTAGTAGATCGCCTGCACTTGCGTAAGCCAGAGCCATCTCGGAATGATTATTGGACGGAACGAAACTTACATATATGAATAATAAGGGGCCTCGGGTCGACGGTTTTCATCATCGTCCTCCCGCCTCATATTACCTCCCATAAAGGTCCACCCAGTGATGACTCCCACCCACCCGTAACGTCGGTGGCGGAATACTTGGCCGACTTCGAACGACACGTCCTGGTTCCCCCTGCCATTCCTGCTAAAGACTGGGGGGGGCGTGTTATCGCCTCTCTGGACATAGCGGACCATGCGCCAGGCATCATCAACATCGGAGGGTGCGGGTCGGATGCGTCTCCGGCGTGTCGTTGCAAAATGCCTATAGAGAGGCACCACATACTTATCCACGACCCATACATCCTCTGGACAGTATCTGGTAAACTCGATCATGAATTTGTCGAACATTTCCTCCCAGTCAGGGCTGGAAGTGGGCACCAGGATCAGCATAGCCCAAAGGCAAGCGTAATAGCAAGCGTTCAAGTTCATAGGCCCATGGCCGTGAAGGAGCCGCGTGAGATCTGTCTCTGTCTCGCGATCCTGCTGCCCCATAAATGTTTGGTAACTGTGCCTGATATTGTTGGCCGCCCTAATGACAGTAGAGGACGTCGGGGTAGGGTCCATGGCGCCGCGCGAATGCTCCGAACCGAAACTAGCCAGTAAACGCCGGAGTTTCTGTTCAGGAACCTCATTGTCGTTACCGTGAGGATCCAAATACATCCGTTTTCCTGGTTGAGTGGCTTCGTCAACTCGTTTATCATCCAAATCCCGACCTGGGGCAGGTGTTACAACAACATGAATATGAGTGGGGAAAGCATTGCACCGTGCGTCGAGCCCAATTCGTTGCGCCATGCTACAGTAAATGGCACTTGAGATGATTGGGATCGACTCGTGGTCCTCATGCTGCAACGCCTGTCCGATCAAGCAGTTTCTCAGGTTGCGGTAGTCCTTCTCCGGGTGTTGAAGGCCAGTCAAATTCATCGCCCGGATCCATCTGTTGAGAGCAAGGGCCTTCTGGCGAGTTGTCCATTCGCGCATTTGAGGATGTCCTGAACAGAACTTGGCAGTGAGGGCACTAAGACAGCGAGTTATCTATAGTATCGCGCAAGGGTTAGTCCGTATCTTCAATACACACTCCTACAAGTGCGCCATGGTACTCACGTCGCTCATGTCACCGGGTTGGCCATGCAATACAAACATGTCGAACGCCCCGAGTGACTTCTCAAGCTCAAGAGGGTTGTGCGTATCTGACTCCGACTCCACGGTCTTAAGGTGTATCCATTGCTCGATAGCTAGATGCCTGTGGATGGCATTCAAGGCAGCATGAGCAAAGTATCTATATGGAATTGGTTAATGATTCTTTTTATTTACGGCAGTGAGGGTGGCATTTTATTTTTGCCCAAGCTTACCTTCTTGCCAAGACATCCTCAAACGAGTCGTCTGCATCGCAATTCTCAAGGAGAAAATCCTTAGCATCATAACCAAACTTGGTTATCTGTTCAAACCTCTTGAGCCGGCCAACCTTAGTCTTTAGGATGCCGTCAAGCAAACGCGATATCTGCTTGTTCTGATGATATCTTAGAACAAAAAGTTTCTTCCAGTCCGTCTGGGGCGCTGGTAGTCTGAGGATGGTTCTGAAAGCGTGGCTGGGGTGCCAATACTTGAAGGTCTGGATACAGTGAAATCTCCATAGCAGTCCCTCCTTCGACAGTCGAGCTAGATGGCGACAGGTCAGGCCAACGCCATGAAGGGTGTCCAAGGGCGGGAGGCAGAAGAGAATGTGGCGGATGATTTCATCCGGAAGCTGGTTGAGCGACATGATGATGCTCAAGGTCAGTCCGTCTCCCAGAACCCGGGGCCCAAAGGAAGATGCATCAGTGCGACCCAATTCCCCTCCTCAACAGAAGAGAGACACAATATGTCATAGGAAGGCGCCGTTGGGTGTTTGTACAGGTGGGGTCACGACTTTACACCGCCTCTTATCCTCTTTTGGACTGCACAATGGGGCAGACAAGCTATCCCCGATTCGGATATAAAGTAAACAAGAAACCACTTACGCGCTTGTGCCCGCACAATTATCCAGATCCTTGTAGACATTCATAACTTAGGTACTTTCATGACTTACACTGACCTCGACGCGACTGTGACTTGTTGTAAGTTGGAAACCACGGTTCTGTGCGCCAAATTCTCTCGGTGCCTCACTTCCGTCTCCGGGCCTATTCCAATTGCAGGCCTTTCCACTATGACCTATTCTTTCTCAATGAATTAATTCACTTATCAACTGTATTAAACCCTTCTTCTTAACTTCTTCCATCGTGGAGAGACCCAACCATGGGCGCCCTCGACACCCCGCGAACCAACATTGGCGACGCGACCTACCTCAGCCAGCGACCTCCCGACTTTGGCGACATCTCCCAAGAAGCATCCTTCCACTCCCCCGAGAAGGACGGCAACCTTTTGCAGCAGCTGCGGAACGGGCGCTCGAATGGCGTAAACCTACGAACGCCGCGGCAGAGAGGTCCTCTGGCCGACCGGAGGAACCTGCCCCCAAGCATTGGCGGCGCCGAATTCACGCCGCTGCTCAAGTCGGCCACCAGAAACAGCGTGCGACGCAGAGGCAAAGAAAACAATGGTGGAGGTGTTGCCGACACCCCAAGCCTGACCAGAATCGAGGAGGATGATATGACCCCAGTGCCGCGCGCCGACACCTCCATCTACCTGGGATCGCGCAATCAGTCTTACCTCGACAATACATTACCACAGGTGGAGGCCAGCAGCGTGGCTTCCACACCGATAGCAATACGCCCACGCCGGGGAGGCGGTGACAAAGGTCCTCTGCAGGATGGCAATCAGCTGTCGCTTCGGGAGCAGGAGAATGTGATCGATAGAATCGAGAAGGAGAATTTCGGCCTGAAGCTCAAAATTCACTTCCTGGAGGAGGCCCTCCGCAAAGCCGGCCCCGGTTTCAGCGAAGCAGCATTGAAGGAAAACACCGAGTTGAAGGTAGACAAGGTCACAATGCAGCGAGAGCTTCACCGGTACAAGAAGCACCTTACGACGGCCGAGCGTGACCTGGAGAGCTACCGACAACAAATGCTGGATCTCCAGGAAAAAGCGAAGCGCAAGTACGCTGATGAGAACCAACGGGCCGAGATGGACAAGCTGCGGCGGATCATAGAGGAGCGCGAGCAGGATGTGGAGGACCTTCAACGGCAGCTCGATCAAAGACAAAAAAGCGGCGACGATATCGAGAAACTACAAGACGAAGTAGGCGATCTCGAGGCCGACATCCGCGAGAAGGACCGTATCATCAGCGAAAGAGAGGACGAGATTGAGGACCTCAAAGATAAATTAGAGGATGCGGACGAAAAGGCAAAAGACTCGGCACGAAAGCTTGTGGAGGCGGAGCAAGCAGAGCAACAAAGCGAAGAATTGGAAGACGCCAAGGAGACCATTCAATCGCTAGAGCAAGACATTCGCCGTCTGGAAGACCAACTCGAGGAGATGAAAGAGAAAATGGACGATGCTATCAACGAAAAGCAAAGGGCAGAAGGCGACCTCGAAGAACTCCAAGAAGAGATGGCTAACAAGTCTGTTGTTACAAAGGGCCTCTCTCGACAGATAGAAGAGAAGGTAACCCGGCTGCAGGATGAGCTTGACCAGGCAGGCCAGGAGTATGCAGCTTTGGAAAAGGAACTTTCTCAGACAATTCAAGAAAACGATCGTCTCAAATCCACTGTGGATGATCTTGAAAACGAAAGAGACAATGTCGACTCAGAAAAGCAATCCTCAGCGGCTAGACTACGCCAATTAGAGCAAGATCTCCTCTCGCGCACAGACGAGAAAAACATTCTACAGTCTCACTACGATTCGCTCGCTACCAAGTCTGACTCGTTACAAGAAACAATTGAGAGGCTGGAAGGAGAAATCCAAGATCTCGAGAACAGCCTCTCTGACGAGAGAACACATGCACTTGAGATCGAAAAAGATCTTCGAAGCCAATACCGAGATGAAATTGAACGACTGAATGGAGATATATCTGATTTACAAGCCGAGGTGCAGGAAAGAGACAACCTTTACGATAATGACAGCGAAAAGTGGGAAACAGAAAAGCAGTCTCTAGAGTCACAGCGTGATCGAGCTGAGGAGAAGGCATCAGGCCTGCAGAGGACCATTGATCGACTACGCGAAGCTGAGGGAAGCCTGTCAGATAAGGAGTCCAAACTACAGGCTGCTCTCTCCAGCGAGGCCGACCGGCACCGAAGCGAAGAGGGTGTCCTCACTAAGCAAATCGAGGATCTCCAAGATGCGCTTGACACGAGGCAAACCCTGTTGACTAATATCCGTAATGAACTTTCCACAGTACGCGACGAGTTGCGACAAACTCAGATCGACTACCAGACTCAGGCGGATAAGATGGCGGCACTGGAGGATGAGATCGACGTGTTGCAGACTCAAGCCGACGAAAGGGGCGGGTCAGCACGCCGAGACCTAGAAAATGCGCGACAAGAGAGTGCACAGCTCAGAGAGGAAATCAACTCGCTTCGGCAACAAGTCCGTTCTCGAGGCTCACCAAGGAAAATCGAACTGGCAAACGATGAGGTGCTTCGCCTAAAGCGGCAGCTTACCGAAAGCACCACCCAGCTCGACAAGACTTCCCGAGAGAAGAAGGATCTCCAAGACCAGCTTTCGACAATCAAAACCGATCTATCCTCGGCAAGAGCATCGCTTGCAGAGGCAAAGGCTGAACGCGACGAGCTAGAAAGCCAGCTTGACCAAGCAAGATCAAACGACAACGACACTCTTCGTGTTGATCAGGAGCGTTTAGATCTGCGAACTGCCAAGTTAAAGCTGGACCACGAGGTTCGTCGTTTAAAGGACGAGAACAAAGCACTGAATGACCAGCGTGAAACTGTTGAGAAGACCCTTCAGCATGAGATCGAAAAGGCAGCCGAGGAGGAGGAGCGCCTAAGCCAGGAAATTATACAACTTCAAACCAAACTACGACAGTCCTCGACCTCGGACAGTCACGACGTGGCCTCAGCTCGTCGCACTATTCGAGATCTCGAGCGTCGCCTCAGAGAGTGTGAGGCCGAGCTCGCTTCTGCTCAACAACCCGCAAACACAGATGGCAACAGTGAGCTCTCCATGGTCCGTAAGGACCTAACCTCAGCCCGCGAGAGAGAGCTAGAATTCATTCAACGGGAATCTGCCCATCGCGATGTTGTCAAGGGTCTCAAGCGACAGATTGCCGATCTCGAGCGGAAAGTCCACGACGAAGAGCTGTCGAGATTGATAGCATCACCAAAATCAACAATCAGCGACAGTGGACGCAGTCGAGAGGTCACAACCTTGCGCCAACAGCTCTCATCTGCACAACAATCCGCTTCGGATTACAGGACCAAGGCTCGCGAAGCCGAGCGCAAGGCCTCAGAAGCTACAGCAGATCTTCAAAGGCAGCTCAATGATCTCGAGGATCAAAAGATCGTACTGGAGGAGGTTCTGGAAGAGGCCCGGCAACAAGCCGAAGAAGCAGCTGTTCAGCACGAGCGCACCCTGCGCCAAATGAACCGCAAGCTGGAGAAGGCGGCGCGCGAGCAGCAGCTAGCCAACGCCAACGGCAAGACGGAGCGTAGCCTTCGCAGGAACCAAGCCGAAGTTGAGAACCTGGAGCATGACGTCCGTCAGCAACAGGAGCTCATCGACGGCCTGGTCGCCTCGGAAGCCTCGCTGCGACGCAAGCTGGAGCGTGCTCGCAGCGAGCGTTCAGCCTACCGAATGAGCGCAGAGAAGCTGCAGCGCGACATCCAACGGGCGTCCAAGGCAGCAGTGAAGAGCGAGGACCAGCGCAAGTCGAGCTACAACAGCGAGGCGATCGACACGGTAGTCCGCGCTGCCGAGGGCGCCGAGGAGCGGCACAAGAAGGAGCTCAGGGGCATGGTAATGCAGATGGAGTGGATGCAAGCCCGTTGGGAGCGCGAGGCCGCTCTGCGCTCCGACGCCGCCTTCGCGAAGAAGTTCCTCCAGCTGCAGCTGAATGTCAGCAACGCATGGTAAGTCTTAGAACTATCCCTTCCACAATTCCTATTCTTCTCAGTATCACCTCAACTAACGTGTTTCTCCCTCTACAGCAACAAAGCCCAGCTCCGCGAGCTCGAGTACATCCGTACAAAGCTCCTCGGCGACCGCAAACCCCTGACCCTCCCCAGCGCGGCCAGCAAGGCCAACAGCGGCAACCAGCCTTCCGGCCGCCCCTCGCTCAAGACGTTCCTCATCATGGCTCGCTTCATCGCCCGCGCCCGCCTGTCCGCCCGGGACTGGGCAAAACAGGAGACGGTGCGCCAGAAACTCGTCGTGGCCACGGAGCAGCAGCGCAAGGTCAAGAAGTCCAAGCAGTTCAAGGTTGTGCGTGTTGAGCAAGTATCATGAGATTGGGGGGCCAGCAGTCTGTGGTCTTTTCGTACCCAAGTCAGCATGGGCGCATTTTTCATGGGCGGCAGTGTGAATGAACAAGGGACTGCACAATTTTGGGTTTCTTTTCATCTTCGATAGGCGTTGCATATTTCTTCCGACTTTTTTCCTTCTTTCTCTCTTCTATACCATTCAGCAGTCAATAGCAGGCATAGGCATCTGGCGTTGGTCACAAATTTGGACATGACACGATTGGGAAGGAGGCGCTTAAATGATAGTTCTAGAAATGATGATGCTCTCTTATTTTCAAACAAGTAAATGAGGAAATTGAACTGAATGCTGAAACAATGGTTCCCAGACACCATGCCCGATAGCTAAAGGGTGCATACAAAGACGTAAGACGTAACC